AACGTGTTATAAATACTCAACAGCACTTTTACATGCTATCCACATATGTGTGGAAAACTGATTTTTAACTCAAGTTTACATTTTCTAAAATTTGGTATTTTTCATTGACTGTTCTTATTACAAACTGCAATGTAATTGACTGTTTTTGGTGAAACACTTTGAGTTCAATAAGTGGTGTTAACAAGTCCGTTTGATGATTTTGGAAAATAAAACAGAATAATAAAGGTTTAACAAGACGTTGTGAATCAACGACAAATCATTTTAACACGTAAAAGCTTTGTTTATTTCTTGTATTTCTCTGCACTTGGTAAATAATTGATTATTTTGATGATTTATTTATATAGTTTGTTTTACTATATTTATAATATTAAAAAATAAGTGGTCAATTCCCGAAATATTAAAAGAGTATTTGAATACACATTTAACAGGTAGTGTTTTTTTTTGTGTTAAAAACATTTCATATATCTTTTTTAATCATTTTTAACAAAATTTAATGTTTCAAATGATAAATTGTTATTATACTAAGTTTAAATGATATATTATGATAATAAAACAACATGATAATAACAATTTTAAGTTATTTTTTATAAATTTAATAAATATAAAAAACGTTTTTTAAGTCATTAAAATGTTTTCAAACATGAACTCATTGTTTCAGTTTCATTTCACTGATAATTTATTTTTATTTTTATTATGATTAAATAAATAAGACTGATAAAAAACAATTATCATTTATTATGATAATTTTTAATATAAATAATAATAAAAGTATTTACATGTTTTGATGAGACTTTAAATGTGATGAGACAATACATTGAATTATTTCAAAACAATAATAACCATGTGTTATAGTGTTTATATTTTACAATTTATTGCATAAATTGTGTTTAAACAAAATAAAAACACCACTCTCAATTCATTTGACAATGACTACTATTTATACATTTCATAATAACCGTACACTTATTCTTTTCACTCTTCCAAGCGGCATGTGTTACAACTATATTAGAAACACCTTTCAAAAAGATGCATATTCAATTGAAAGTATCGAACTTAAAGGCTCAACCGTATCGATCGTATTTAATGACCACTTTACTCCACTCAGAATATATCAAACTAGAACATCATACAGAATTAAAAATGAGCCAATCCAAATTTATTGGAAGCTTTCAAAAAATGAACTTGCTTTGAGAGAATATACCTAAACCTTTTTTGGCCTAAAACCCGAGTCTACAGATTTGTCCGTTCAAGTCTGTGTGAGTATGTTCAAATCAAGTCATTTCATTTGACTTGTGATAAATATGGTTACTATTCCATCATCAAATTTAGTACATTTGAAGATGTCGAGAATGTCTTCAGGAACTATTCTAATATCAAAGAATAAATTGGCACTGAGAAATTTTGTGTTAAACATTACAAAGAGGAGACAGAGAAATGTTTGGATGAGATAATAAAAAACATCCACCACAACTAAATTGCAAATTCGGAATTATTCGAGTACTTCAAATCGTTTGGAAACATCAAAAATTTCAACCTTTCGAAAATCAACCCAAAGTTCAACGCCAAAGTGTTGTATGTGGAGTATTTCGAAAAAAAATGACGCGAAAATGTTGATTGAAGAAGTTGATGGGAATGATGTCTTTAATTGTGACATGCCCCTTTCAGCCAGTTTTGTAAGAAGAAATATTAATACTATTATATTGGTTAACAACACAGACTACAATAGAAAAGGTGTTGAAAACAGTTCGAAAAACAACAATTTATTTTTATATTAACTTGATCAACAAGACCAAATAATTTAATTAACATTATTTATTTTGTTTGATAATATGTTGTTATTTATAAATCGTAACTTAAAACTTACACAACATGATTTGATTGTATTATATTATCAAAAATCAACAATAATTGACTTTTGCTTTGTTTTTCAAGTAAAAAACTTCAAATAATTACCAAACATACCAACTATATATTTAAAATATATAACTAATTTATTGTGTAACAACACACACTTAAAACGGCTGACTGGATGAGATTCGCTTACTGGATTTGTGTATCTATTTTATGTCCACTGGACAAACCAGTTTTATGGAAGGCAAAATAATATTTATATAAATAGATTATTTTATTTTATTGTAAAAATATATTTTTTTGTTGATTTTTTTAAATGTTTGCGAAATTTTTAATAATTGTAATATATTACAACCATAAGAATCATTTTAAACTTATTTAAGTTCAATGTAATATTTGTGTACAAGTAACAAATGCCAATAATAAACAACACATAGTCGAGACATTATTATACAAATATTACAATTAAAAATATGCCATGTTAAAACATGATTAGACAAAAAACTATAATTAAATAAAAAAATTTTGCCAAAAATGTTGATGGCATGTTTCACGATTTTACAAATTTTTTAATGAAAAAAAATGGTTGCC